GCCATGTTGAGACGGGACAATTGGAAGATGCAGTCCAGCCTATCTGGAACACACACACACACACACACACACAAACACACACACAGACCCCTTAGTCTGCCGTAAAGAGAAGCGTGTTTTTTTTTTAAAGCTTTTCTTCCTTCTACTAAGTCCTCCCCTGAGCTCTGATTATTATCCCGCTCTTGCAGATAAACTTTTGAACCTCTCAAATCCTCGTGAACCTATCGAGTTTTCTTCTATTTTATTTTTCCTCTTCTTGTCGGCTGCCAGGTGGTTATGTAAGAAAGGATCTACCACTCAGCTAACAATAACAACAGGCTCTGCCATTTTGACTTGGGCCAAGGCCAGGGTCGTTACTCAACCAGCCCTTCAGATTCTCTGGGTGTGCGTGCGTGCACTCTCGTACATCCGTGCAAAGTCCTACACACCTTAGAAGCCTGGCTGTTGAATTCAACCCTGTTGGGGAGGAAAATAAGATCAGGTTGGCTAACTGGATTGCTTCAAGAGCAGTGGTTAGTACTGCTAGTTCGGCAGTTCGGGTGTGTGTTCCATCACTGGAGGTTTTTAAGAAGAGACTGGACAGTCACTTGTCTGAAATGATATAGGATGTCCTGCTTGAGCAGGGGGCTAGACTAGAAGACCTCCAAGGTCCCTTCCAGCTCTCTTCTGATTGAAATGGTCTAGGGTCTCCTGCTTCAGCAGGGGACTAGACTAGAAGACCTCCAAGGTCCCTCCCAGCTCTATTCTAATAAGGAAGGGAGGGAAGGAGGGAGAGAGGAAGGAAGGAAAGGAGGGAGGGAGGGAGACTGAGTCAACCTTGAGCCGGGGAGAATTGCACTGCCAAACTGCTGGTAGCCGGCAGTCAGCAGAAGTAACCTGCAGTACTGCGTTTTAACCACTGTGCCATCGTGGCAGCCCAGGTTTGAGACCCAAGTTCCGCACGATGGGGTGAGCTCCCGTTCCTTGCTCTTGCTCCTGCCCACCTAGCAGTTCGAAAGCATGCAAAGGCGAGTAGATAAATAGGTACCACTTCAGTGGGAAGGTAACAGCGTTCTGTGTTTCATTTCATTATTATATACTTTATTCATGAAACATGAAACTCAGCCAAATAAACATTCAAAAATGCATCACAAATACCACTGACTGGTGCTAATGGTTGATANTTTTCTTCCTTCTTTCCTCCCTCCCTCATTTTCCTTCCTTCTTTCCTCCCTTCTTCCTCTCCCTGTTTCCTTCCTTCTTTCCCCTCTCCCTCCCTCATGTTTCCTTCCTTCTTTCCTCCCTTCTTCCCTCATTTTTCCTCCCTTCTTTCCTCCCTCTCTCCCTCATCTTTCCTTCCTTCTCTCCCTCCCTCCATCCATCCCTCATGTTTCCTTCCTTCTTTCCTCCCTCCCTCATTTTTCCTCCCTTCTTTCCTCCCTTCTTCCTCTCTCCCTCATGTTTCCTTCCTTCTCTCCCTTCCTCCCTCCCTCCATCCCTCATGTTTCCTTCTTTCCTTCCTCCCCTCTCTCCCTCCCATAACAAATACCTGGTAAAATCAGGAGGAATAAGAACTAGTGGTGAGGCCAACAAAATCTCCAAGTCAAAGTTCTCGTCCAAATGTCTTTAGCTCTTTCTCCTGCCAGCTGCTGGCTACCTTATGAGAAGGTTTTTCCGTGCTCTCCTATTTGGGAAATGATTATTTAACCCACAAACTCTCCAAGTTCAGCTGGAAAAAATCCAAGGAAAATATCCCATCCCATGGCACTGGGCTAAAAACCAGGTAATATATATTGTGCTTCTTGATTACCAAGATCGTCCCAGATTTTTGCTGGTAATGAAGGAGGCTGGTGCTTTCTTTTGCATTCAACTATTGTTTAAGCCTGGCTTATTAAATAGAGTCCAGCTGGCTGGGTTTGCACAATACCTTAATCCCTAAGCCCTTATCCGGAGCCAAAAGGAAACAAATAAATTTAATAAGTCAATAAATAAAACAAAACAAGGCCCAAGATGGTTCACAGTGTTTTGGGAACTCTTCAATAGGTAGACCAGATTAAAGGGTAAAGGTTCCCCTCGCACATATGTGCTAGTCGTTCCCAACTCTAGGGGGCGGTGTTCATCTCCTCTTCAAAGCCAAAGAGCCAGCATTATCGGAAGACATTCTCCGTGGTCATGTGGCCGGCATGACTCAACGCTGAAGGCGCACGGAACGCTGTTCCCTTCCCATCAAAGGTGGTTCCTATTTTTCTACTCGCATTTTTTACGTGCTTTCGAACTGTTAGGTTGGCAGAAGCTGGGACAAGTAACAGGAGCTCACTCCATTACGCGGCGCTAGGGATTCGAACCGCCGAACCGCCGACCTTTCTGATCGACAAGCTCAGTGTCTTAGCCACCGAGCCATCACGTTCCTTCTTCATAGTTAACAAGAGGCTAAAAACAGGACATGGTGCTTTAACAGGAACGTGTAAAGGAAGAGCACTCTGGGACTGAAGGAAGATGGAAGTTGTAGTCCCAACTTTTCTGATGGGTGTTCAATGAAGGAAGCCCTAGTCCAGATATAAATTTGGGGTTACTGGAATGTCGGATGAATAAAACGCTTTGCAAAATATAGGTAGCATTCCTCCATCATGTTCAGGGAGAAATAAATCAATAGATATAAAGTTCATTGGAGATCTATGACTTTTTCAGTGAACTTTCCTTTGGTTTGTTCATATTCAACAAACTAGTTTCTCTTAGCCTAGATGTCTTTTTCAGGGAAGATTTTATTTCTTTATTTATTTCATTTTCAAAAAAAACCCACATATCCCAGTCAATAGATTCTGGGCTGGATATTTTTCTCATT